GTTAGGGGTTACGATTAGAGGTTACGGTTAGGGCAACTATTTCTCAACCACTCAAAGTACAACCGCGCATTCCCAATAGCTTTTCTTTTGCATACAAATACTTGACCTTGTCGCCTGTGCGTTCCCCGACCCCACCTGTAAAAACACCTATTACCACTGGTCCCGTATTACAGGTGGCTGGGGTTTGTTTACTTCAGGTGGGGCTACACAACCACATCTGACCATAGGATCTTTTTAACTATAACAATAATTTCCAGGCATTCGAAAATGTTCCATAAGTAACTACAAATACGTAGTTTGGGGGCAGAACGGGTAATCAATTAGCTGTCCATGAAGAATTTTGAATTTGTAACAGTAGAATGGGGGCTAAAAACAAGAAAACATAATGAAACGGTTCCAAGATAAACAGGTGAAAGACCTCATTTTCAACAGGAAACTACTACCATCTGCTAGTAAATTCTGCAAGCAAGCAAAACGCTTAAATCTCCCAGACTTTACTCTGATACAAAGGATAGAGGACATGGACATCAACAGCAAAATACATAAACAAACTATTTTTTAAGATAGCTTATTAGAGGAGGTTCTTCTTCTTCTGATCAAGAGTATACCCGTCGCCGGTCTCTGCTGTGGACGTCCATCTTCCTCAGAGATAAAATTCTATGCTTAAGTGAGCCCATGAATATGACTCAAACAATCAGGGACAGATTTACTTTGAGAGCCTTAATAACCGAAAACCGCAGAAAACTGCATCGAAAGCTTCAATGAAAATGGAAACTTCGAGGACACCTCCAGATCTAATGGTACTAAACTGTCGCCAGAAGAGACACAGTAGTGTAGCGGGAAAAATTTCACTAGTACGCAGAAAATATGCTTCTGCGTCTGCCAATTATGTTCCAGTTTCTTAGTCACTGACCGGCATCTCGACACGTGGCCTGACGAAAATGTTTGCTTTTGGGGCGTCCCTACCTATAAAATCGAACAGTCCGATTTGTCATGGTCAACCCCATCTCGCACAGTGGAGAAACTAAAAAATCACATCAGATTTACGCAATGCCATTTCAAAAAAAAAAAATCGGACCGTTTACTGGCTGCCATACTACACAGAACACTAATTCTTGGGGAATATTTGGCGGGACAATTATCTGAGGCCCATTTATACATCATTGTGCACTTACTGTTTTCGTTACATAGCTGCTTGCACGGGCACGTAGTATGCACTTTCAGAACCAGGTCTCTTTATTTGACACACTCTTGAGTTTTGTATTTTACTTTTTTTTAAATAATCACTTCTAGCCAGCATAACACTACTTTGAACACATT